GCTGCCCTGGGAAGTGGTTGAGTCTCCATCCCTGGAGGTATTTAAAGAACGGATAGATGTGGTGCTCGAGGACATGGTATAGATGGACTTGGCAGTGTTAGGTTAACGGTTGGACTTGATGATATTAAGGGTCTTTTCCAACCTTGACGATTCTATGATTCTATGATATTTGCACCTGTGGATCAGGAGGGGTAGAAGACAGGTTATTAGGACAAATAATCACTTGTCATTTTCAGATCATGGCTGTTTTAGCTAGTAGTGGGGGAAACTGAGACATCATATAAAAGAATTGTTTTACCTGAGTTTGTGAATTTAAATTCTCAGACTTGTCTTAAATGTTTTGTAAATCTCTCTTCTAGCACTAGGACTGTGAGACTGGAGGAACAAGTGCTTCATTGTTGATTTTAGAAATATATTTTTCCTTTAGAAATTTGTCTCTTCCTGATTTTGTATGAAATCAGTTTTGGTATATGGTTTAATTCTAACCTGTGCTTCCATGAGTGCATTTTGTATACTGTCTGAAGAATATTATGTTCTGTTCAGTATCCTGTATTTCTTGAAATGTTTTCCCAAATATTCTTATTTCCATGTTGGCAAATAAAGAAAAATGCAAAGTTGTTTTACAGTGTTACTCCCTTAAACTGTTGTAACTGGCTCCCTTTTGGTAATGAGAGACTCCTACCAACTTTGTAGCAATTTTATATGATATGTTGGTTGTAACACATTGTAATGATGCTACCAAGAGACATTGACTTGGCTGTTCTTCAGTATGATTAATTTTTCACAGAATCACAGAAGAGTTGAGTTTGGAAGGGACCTTCGGAATTCGTCTTGTCCAACCCTGCTCCTCAAGCAGGGCCATCTAGTGCCAGTTGCCCTGGACTGTGTCCAGATGGCTTTTGAATATCTCCAAGGACGGAGACTCCATAACCTCCCTGAGCAACCTGTGCCAGTGCTTGGTCACCTTCATGGTAAAACAGTGTTTCTTGATGTTCAGAGGGGACCTCCTGTGTTTCTTCCAGTTTGTGCCCATTGT